ACCCCCACCTCCTCCCTACCTATAAATACCTTTCTTCTACCTCCATCTTCTCTTTACGCTTCCATAAACCTGCAAATCGCATTTGATGAACGAATATACCTGCAACCTCCTAAGCAATGGCCTCCTTCTCCTCCCACGAGTCCAACAACAATGACAGCCGAGTTCAATCAACCGGCATTGATAGCCGCACCATCGTTTTCCTTCCCATGAAACCAAACAACCACGCCATTGAACTAAGAAATACACTGTTCAACGACTAATTTGCTGTCATGATCGAGTTCTTTAAGAACTATATTCTACTACCAGCCCTGTCCCTTGCAGACACCGGCGTACCACTAACATACATCCAACAGTATTGGCAAACATGTGAGTTCCACCCCGACAGCCATGGAATAATGGGGGACATGGATGCCCCGAACGACCCTCACCCAACTCCCTGCCACAATACTAGCCCAAATCCCCCAGCCTACTCCACCCCCACCTCCCTTTGCAGGCCCATCCTTCGATGAAGCCTTCTCCTCATTCATTGCAGAGGTGAGAAATCTCATCACCAACCTTCCCATTCCTCCATCTACATCGACCACCACTTTCGTGCCACCACAAGCCTCATCCTCAAGCATGGAGTTCGCAACCAAAGCCGATCTGAGGGCTCTGTCCAAAGCACTTGTCTCATCTTTCAATGAGATAAGTGCAAAATTCGTTCATCGTGTTATTCATCCGACCAGGGTTCTCTCCCAGAACCTTGCTGATGAACAAAGGTGCACCACTTCTCTCCTTACGATGGAGGAGAGCCAAAGACAAACATCCCTGAAGGCGTATCTTCGTCCTTCAGGAAGGAGAAAAATAAGAAGAGGAGCAAATCATCATGCTCCGGCAGCCGCCAACACAAGAGGCCATGACATGAGGACCAAGACCCCGATGATCAAGGTCTTGGACCTCATGAGGGGGAGACACAGGCCGTAGCTGCTCAACATATGGAATCCGTTGCACCATCACCACCATCGCAAACACAACAACCACCACCCTCAACCGAAGGAACCCAAGCAAGGAACCAGAGGCTCAACCCTCTGAAGATGTACAAAATGTACATGTTCCCTTCACTACTACCCAAGAACCCATCGTGTTGAGTTCCTCAACCGATGAAAATCCAACCTCCCCACCTTTTACTCCATCACCTACACCAAACCTACCCTTAACTCCTTCACCAACCCCTCGCACCACAGAACTCTACACCACCTTACTCATACAACCAGAACCAACTATAATCCAACCTTCATCACCCCAACAACCTCAAACCCAAACAGAACCCCATGAACCAGAAACCACCCAAGCCGAACCCAATGAACCAGAACCAACCCAAGCTGAACCAACCCAACAAGAAACCATACTTTCACCAACCCAACCATCCATGGTGCAAGCGCATATTCCTTCTTCATCAAGGCAACCACCGCAGAGCCTAGTCGACAAAATTATTCATAAATAGAGTCGCTGCGGAGACGTCCAGAGTTGCCACCCACGGAACCCATAATGATGGAAAATATCCATCAATACTTGTATCATGACCGCGATGAAAGTTTGACCCTCAATCCTCCGATTCTATCACCAGAGTCCATGGACCTCCTACACCATAGGTTTGTTAGACAGACCACCCAAGCACCACAGGCTGTCTTCTCAAACGATGAGATAAGGAGGGTTATGGATCTAAAAGTGAGGACCTTCGCCAATAGAGCCATAAGATATATCGAGTACACAGTGGATAGAGCACATGGTAAAATCAGCGTGTTCAACGAATATGACCTCATCAACCTCAATCCCTATGACTTGATCGAACTTTATTCATACACGACTCAATGACAGGATCATGGCATCAAATTTGGGATGGCAAACAGAGCGGTTGTAAAGACAATGGAGTCCCTGGTAAACCATCGAGCCAAGAGTGATTTTGAAATTTCTCTTCGCTTAGGCATCAAAAGACTATCCTGCGCTCCACCAAATGAAGACTTTCCAGGCCTGTAGGAGAAGAGATCTGCCTCATTCTTAACTCAACCCGAGCTTGGACTTGTTTACAAGAATGAATTCGGGGCAAAGAAATTCTTCAGACTAACTAAGGCCTTCAAGTATTCAACTGATACACTTGAGTGGTTTCAGAAGGTCATTAGAGAAAGACTTGGTAGATCACATGTGCCAAGAGAAGATGGGAATCAACTCATTCATGAGATATCAACAGTCATCGGCTATCGAAGACTACTTATGCGCTTTAGGGATATATCTCAAGGTATATCATGATGAGTTGTAAATTTTTGCCTTAAAATGATGTCTTTTGTTTCCAGTATTGTAAGAATTCATCATCCAATGGAAATATGGAATTTGATGTTTTTCTATAGATTAGTCTCTGTTCTTCAAATTCGGTTCATAGATTACTTTATGTTCTTTCATTACTTAGGGGGAGATTGTTAGACCCCATAATCCATAAAGGGTAAAAGTAATAAAAAACAATAAGTGATGAAGAACCAGAAGACCGATGAAGACATCAAGGCAGAATTGACTAAGTCTGGAGAACAACCAAAGGGTCGATGAACAACCAGAGATGCGATGGAAAAAGCATCTTCATCGCCCCTCTGGTCAACAACACTTAGAGTTTTCTTCAGCAATTCAACAAGAGGCATACGATGAAGATATGAAGATAAGGTTGATTCATTATCCCATGGAAGATAGCTGGAGATGACAAGTCGACAGCTGAACTTCATGTTTATCTTAATATTAAAGCTTATCCATAGTTTAGATAAACATTATCTATTAATAGAAGATTAGCTAAATAGTCTCACTAGATAGTTATCTTCTAATTAACTTACTAGTATAAATAGGTGATTAGGTCTATTGTATTAAACGTCTCTTTTACGTTTTTCTTATTAATAAAGTGAAACCTTTGACGCTCAAGATTGTTCTTTAATGTTCATAATTTATTCTTGAGTGTTCATCACTTTGTTCATCAAAACACTATAATTTGGTTATTCTTAACTTGATTATCAGTGTTATTGAGAGATCTGGGATCAACACATTAAAGCCCAATACAATCCATTAAAGTTCAATACGATACATTAAAGTCTAATAGAACCGTTAAAGCCCAATATGATCCATTAAAGCACAACTAACATTCATTAAAGCCCAATAGAACCGTYAAAGACTAATACGATCCATTAAAGCACAACTAACATTCGTTAAAGCCCAATAGAATCGTTAAAGCCCAATACGATCCATTAAATCCCAACTAACATCCGTTAAAGCCCAATACGATCCATCAAATCCCAACTAACATCCGTTAAAGCCCAATACGACCAGTTCTTTTGCTTTTATATATTCTTGTAAACTAGATTTGACCATAATTGCCATACAATTATTTAATAGACCATGCTAACAATTGACTACATTATTCTTTCGTGGATCGCATGCTTGAAATTGGATTCTCAAACGATCAGATAAATCAATTGGTCATGATAAGTCTTTCTTGGCTATTTATTCTTCATTATAGATTTGTACAAAAATGGAAATTATTTGCATGGGATGATGAGCATACCTGAATCATTAAAAAGACTACTAACTGTATGGACTAATTTAATTGCAAAACGAGTGAACAACTTTTGTACAAATATGATAGAAAAATTATTACACAAATAAACAAGCTATTTAAGCATAATTTTATTGAACCTACCAACAATATAAAAGAAAAAGGCTGTTTCATTCGTCCATCCACATTCTTGATTAATCAAATTAATACAACGTTTATTTATTTCACCAATTGTTTTATTCCATATAACTATCATACCTTGCAAATTGATGTTTTTTAACAGAACCATCTTTTTGTATTTACAGGAATTATTCGTAGCAGGAACAAATACTACAACCACTTCAGTTGTCTGGGCTATGACGGAGCTAGTGAGACACAAAGAGGTCATGTCTAAAATAATGGAAGAGATTAAAAGGGAAATCAACTCCGATACAATCACTGACTCACAACTATCTAAGTTACCTTATCTACAAGCTAGTATCAAAGAAGCCATGAGATTACACCCACCGGTGCCTCTTCTTCTTCCACATATGGCGGCTGAAACTTGTAAGGTTATGAATTACACAATTCCTAAGAACTCCAAAATATTTGTCAATCTTTGGGCAATGGGCCGAGACCCTAAACTTTGGGATGACCCTTTATCTTTCAAACCCGGAAGATTTATTGGATCAAAAGTGGATTTTAAAGGCCAAGAMTTTGAGCTATTACCATTTGGTTCAGGGAGGAGGATGTGTCCTGGAATGCCATCAGGTGTCAAGAGTGTTCAACTTATATTGGCGTCTTTGATTCGTGAGTTTGATATGGTTCTTCCGGATGACGTTGATCCTTTACAGCTCAACATGAACGACAAATTTAGGATCGCTTTGGGAATGGAAAAACTTTTGAAGCTCCTCTTCAAACAAAAACAAGAATCTCTATGAGTTTAATTCATGTGGAATTTCCTCCCATTTTTTGTATCTATAATTTATTCAATGAATTCATTCTTTTTCATATGTAACTTCTTGTTATTTAATGTATTTTGAATTTAAGTAAATAAAATGCATGGGCTTAAATAACATATAAGTACGTTTATCTGATCTTCCATTCTATGTTTGATTTGGTTTTTTAATGTTTTGGGAATCAAATGCTCTTGAAAAATAACTAGCTAGGCTTCCATTTAGATATGCCATGATTTCAAAGACTTCATTTGTTCCAAAATCTTGTTTTAGTTTTCAATATATATATATATATATATATATATATATCAATTTGGTTTTATGAAATTTAGAAAACCGAAGCATATTAGTTTATCTATAAGATACAAGGATACATTACTAAAACAATCCAATTGTAATAGATAAAACTAATCAGCGTTTTAAGTTTTCAATAAAAAAATTGGGTTTGATAATAAAGAAAGAATCAAGCACTGTGACACATAAATTACCTACGAGCGTTGTTTTGCCTATGAGATACAATGCTATAGTAAGATACCAACCAATTACGTTAGCTACAACTACAAACAATTTAACTTCAAAAATAATTGGTGCTTCGACTTTTAGAGTAAAGAAATTGGATAACCGTCATGATTACACTTTTACCTCACTCGTATTATCTTTGGTATCATAAATTCACAAACACGATCGGTGTCTTGCTTTCAAGGACGGTGTCCTTTGCAAATTTAACAAGTGCATATCAACTAATGGAGATGATTCTATTATAGTTGTTGAGAGTTGGTGATTTCAAAAGTGGTGTATGTATTTTTATATCTTCAAATCCCAACTATTTATTGAAAATCTTTTTAAATCAATCATTGAAAGTTATCTATTTTTGTCTCCTGTAAAAATAAATAATCAAAATTCAAAATTACCAAGACTTACCCCGCAACCAACATGATGATAGTCGTGAGGTACTAAAACACAAGGTATGTATTGTTCCATTATTTGTGTGTCATCATTCTCATTAGTCAAATGATGTGGACCATCGTTTTTGAATTTTTCGCATTATTTCATTCAACTTCAAATTTTATTGCGAATACCTTTAAACTGAAGTTTTTTTATCATTCCTTTATTTTTTTTTTGTAGGGTAAAGATGTATTTAACTTGATCCGACAATAATGTATTTACATCTTTTACTTCACTCCCACCTCTCGGTGGGTTACAATCGTATGTCACTTAACTGAATGTAACTCATATCACATTGTCTTCTCTTTTATACGTGTGTTGGGATAATTACATTGGTCCACAAGCATAGAAATTACTTATACAAAGATTTGAGCTTGTTTTTCTATACACTTAATTCATCGTTAAAAGTCTCTTACTAGCTTTGGGCGACATAGATGCTCATGCATAGTGCTAAAACAACAATTCATTTCTCTACTCTAGATGAGAAACATTAGCTAGAGTCTAAATACATTATTTCTGCATGCTTCAATTGTATGGGGTACGGCTACATTCATTTCTGGGCATAGTATGTGTTAACACATCTCGTAAATTCCTAGAACAAGAGTTTAATTAATTTATGCTAAAAATTTCCAGTTGTTGCTAAGATTATTAATTTGAGACAAAGTTGCATAGGTTTCTAGTCATAGTCTTAAGCTCAAAAAAAATCATAATTATAGGTTTTACTGTATCATAATGTTACTGACCATGGCCCGGCATAACCTTACCCCTTAAACCCGGACAAGATTGTCTTTCTATTTTATCATACCTTTTATCATCAATAGCGTTATATTAATTTGTGTCCATGTATATTGTGTTTCTGGATGATAAATGTATTATAAAAGTAAAATATTAATGATGATGCTTTATGAAAAAAAGAATATATAATTGATATTAAGAAAAAAACTCTAAAAAAACATTAAAAATATGTCCAAACATACATACGTAAATGTGTGTGCATCATACTTTAATATTAGTTCAAACCTAATGTTATTTATTTAGTAATTATAAATTATTGATAAATAGTGAACCAAAGGAAAGATGAAGTTTGCATCACGTGTCAAAAGCATCGAAGTCTACTAGCAAAGCAGCCATAATGTAATATAACATATTGTGAAAATCATAATATGGCAGAAACGAAAAATACAACTGACCAAATCGTGAAATGCCACTGTTGTATTATTAACAAAATTCGAGCACCTTGGACGTTAACGACATGTTCTATTGTATAGCCTTACCCCTCAATCATGAACGAGATTGTTTTTCTATTTTACATATACATATATTTATATTTTAGTGGCTAACATATTAACTCCTTAAAATTCTCATCATATAGGGACCTTTGATACGACACTAAGAATTTCTTGTATTTGTTTCCTTCCATCATCATATATATGACTACGATTCCCATTCCATAACTCTATCATTTCACCCACTTGATAGTGGATTTGATGGTACCCTATGCACCCTTTCCAGTCCGACAAATAATAAAAGTTATAATAAATCCTATTACTTTAAAACATAACATATTGTGATAGTGATAAGTAGGGTCGTCTCTTCAAAAACTCGGTATCAACCGTGGGTCCAAGATGTAATCACATGCATTTTCCTTAAAAGACATTATATATAAGGGTGGTGGTTGGAAGATTAATAACTAAGCTAAACATTCAAAATAATTCAAGTACTTCAAACAATAATTAGAAGATTTTTCTAGCAATGAGCGAAAATCAACTAATTTCTTAGATAGTGTATTTGAGATTCAATCAATAATATTTTTTCAAGAGAAATCCTAGTGGACTTGAACATTGATACGCACCAAAGTTCCATTGATCCAAAAACATGACTATCACGAGAAGCTCGGTGACTAGCCTCTAACCAGTTAAGTAAATCTTATCATGAACTCGGATTTAAATGCTAGCCACACTAAAATCAAGCAACTTAGCATACTTTACTAATAATCGATAATGATTATTACGGTCAAATTACACAACCTTACAACACCAAAATTCAACAAAATAT